TTTGCAATTAATGGTGTTACTACCAATACTAGTAGGTAAAATTTGTTGAGTGCGCAGGTTTCAAGCATTGTGCTGAGCACTTTACATGATTATATCCTGTGATTTTCACAACAGTTCTTTGGCATAGATCCTGTGGTTCCCCCATGGGAACAGGTTTGAATGTTGAATAAATTATCTTGCCAAAGACAGCTAGAGGTGGAGCTGGGATTCAAACCCAGGTATGACTCTAGAGCTCATGCTCTTAGTCACTGTACTCTATTACCTCCTCATTGCCAGGATTTTGAGTTACCAATTTATGGAATCCTTGATCAAACAGCTCAGCAGTGTAGAACAGATTAGGTCACAGGTTAATTTCATTTTAGCTCTAGTGAAGAGTTTCTTGACTCATTTCTTGAGAATCAATTAGTAATATGCCATTGGTCTCTGTGGATGAATCAATACTAGTCCATTACCATGCTGGACCATCCAAACTCCTCAGGACTTCCAGAATGCACTTCCTGCATTTTAACCAGTATTTGGAAGTCAAGGAAGGGTTTGTAATATAAAGAGGCAGAGGTCTCTGACTTCTTTGTGGCTGGTTGCAAGCAAAGGAAAATGGTTAGTTAAGGTGAGCTCTGGTTTGAAATGACTGACTTTTGAAATTAGGCATGGAAGGTAAGATTTATAGGGTACTGTGAGGTTTGGATCTTTTATTAAGGCAGACAGTACATGCAAATGTAAAAAGCTCTGAAAATAGAAGTCTAGGCAACATTTAAATTCCCTATAGATCTTTTTTAAGGGCTTGAATCAATTGGTTTTATATTAGACTCAGTTACCTAGAACAGTTTAATGAAGATTAAAAAGATTTAGATTTTTCTGGATATGTAAATTAATGTATTTTATCTGAATTTCAGTGAAAAATCTCTTCAGACTTGCCCACTGCAGCATATATACATGGAGAGCCTAGAAGTTAAAACAGGGCAGAATGAACGACAGGGTTATCCATTAGTCCTGAGCTAGGCAGGGAACCTCCCCCAGCCTGTGAGAGAAGCAAGGCCCTACTAAGCTGATGAGGTGGTGGGAGTTAGCCAGAGCCACACAGGCCTCCAGTTCCTTTATTCGGTGAAGCTAGTGAGAAACTCAGCTAGACTGCCTTTTTAGAAGAGGAAAGCATCTCCCTGACACCTTGGGATGCCTTCCACCCCGCCCTTCCCCAGATGTCTGCCCACATCCTAGGGAGCAGCACCCCCCCCCCCCCCCCCCCGGTGCCTGAAAGGCCGAACTGGTACGGGGAGCCTACGGGATGCAGAGAATCTAGGCAGGCAAAGAACCGACTCTCCGTTAGGTGATGAGAGCAAAGCAGAACCCTGCTGCGGCACGCGGCAGGGCTGGTGGTGGGGTGGGAGCATCAGATTGCACCTGTTGCGGGAGGCGCAATCGTGCCACCTCCCACAAAGGGCTCGAGCCCCTGGCTGGAAGCTGCTCCTTAGGCCCGAGGATCCTAAACCCGCCGGCCAGAGCCCTGGACCCGCACCCGCCTGGGGCACATATCTCCAGTAGTAGCCCAAGTAGAGGGTGGCGCCAAGACCTAAAAGCAGGGAGAAAGGCTCTGTCCAGGTGCCATTCTGAGGGCTCTGGGAGGAGCTCGGCATCTTGGGTGGTTGGGTCCCGACCTCCCGACCCTCAAGTTCTTGACTGGCTCCAGCGCCCGGCCCCGCCCGTTCCAGGCCATCGGCCGGCAGGTGCGGGGTCCGGGCCCCGCCCACCTCCACTGGGCCCCGCGGCGGGCGTGGTGAGGGGCGGTGCCGGGACCTCGCGGGCCGCCGAGCGGAGCCGAGTCACCTGCTAATGGCCTCCCCGCCCCATCGCCCGGGTCGCGCGCCCGGGCGCCTCCTGCTTCCGCCTCGCGGTCACCGGCGGTGCCGCCCCTGGCGAGGACTAGCGGCCTCCCCCCCCCCCGCCGCCATCTTGGTGAGAGGTGCCTCCAGCGCCTTCTTCAAACCCTGCCCCGGCCGCGCGAGTTGGGCAGCCTGGGCACGGTCCCCAGTCACTGGCACACAGGACACAGCCCCTCCTGTGGTGGCTTCCTGTGACCTCCCCACTCAGGACACGGCCACTCACCTTGTGAAAACGCTCTACAGTCCCACCGTGTTCAGCCATTCAGTGGTCTTCCCATACTGGGCGCAGTCATTCACACCGTGACACCCCACACTGTCACACAGGTTTCAGCTATTGAGTGCATGGCATTCCACACAGAGTCTCACACACACACAGGTTACAGTCACTCACACAGTGTCACTCTGCACTGTCTCATCTAATCCCTGTCAGGTAAGCAGGACGGATATGTACTCATCACCCACTTTGTACCAGGCACTAGGGATGCCCCGGGGTTGGTGTTCCCTGTCATCACATTCCTGGAATGTGGAAATAAATATATAATTTAACAGAGCAGTGGTTTGCAACCTTGACTGAAGATTAGAATCATCTGGGAGTTTTAAAAAACTACCAGCGCCCAGGCCTCACCCCCTGCTATAGTTGGTCTGGAGAGGAGTCTGGATGTCAATATAACCTAGACGTTCTCTGGAAGATTCAAATGTGTAGTCGGGGTTGAACCCCTGTCATAGGGCATGGGGCTAGGTAAGGGAAGTACAGCTGCAGTGGGAGCACTGAGGAGGGTGCCCAAAATGACGATACACTTAAGGTGAAACCAAAAAATGAGTAGGAGTTTCCCAGGCAAAGGAGAGGTGGGGAGAGAACAGTTTCAGGAGCAGAAACAGCATAAGCAAAAGCCTGGATGTGAGAGACTTCTTAAAGGAAACAAAAGAAATCTCGTGTGTCTGGGGCATACGAGTTGGTCAAGAATCAAGCTGTGAGCAGCTACACAAAGGATGTTAGAGTTTGGGGCGCCTTAGGCTCAGGTCATGATCCCAGGATCCTGGGATCGAGCCCCACGTCGGGCTCCCTGCTCTGCGGGAAGCCTGCTTCTCCCTCTCCCACTCCCCCTGCTTGTGTTCCCTCTCTCGCCGCCTCTCTCTCTCTCTGTCAAATAAATAAATAAATAAAATCTAAAAAAAAAAAAAGGGATGTTAGAGTTTAAACAAAGGGTGGAGGAAAGCCACCAAAGGGTTTTACGAAGGGGTGGGTGACATGACCGGAATTGTGTTTTAGAAGAATCATTCAGGCAACTTGGAGAATGGATTGGAGGAGGCTGAGAAAGGAAACAGGCCAGTTAGGCTGTTAAGAGAATTTTGGAATGGCAGATGGCAGCCTGGCCTGGAGGAAGCTCCAAAGAGGAGTGAAGATCTTTAAGATAGGAGGCAGAATTGATAGGACCTGGTGGTAGGTTGGAGGTTGGGAGAGAAGGAGAAATCATGAAGGACTCCCAAGTTTCTGACTGTATGACTCAGGGATGCATGGCGCTGCCAGTCCCTGAGATAGGGGAACTGGGAAGAGGAAGGTTTGAGGAGAAGGAAGATTCATTCTTAGACACATAGAGGGTAGCGTGGTCGCTGCTAATTGTGTTTTCTTAGATTCTGTGTCTACTTGGCATCCATGAATCACAGAGCCAAACTAACAGCCAAAGTTGACATCTCACCTGCAATCCAGAGCCCATACTCTGAGCTACTACTTTAATCTAATTCTCACTCAACAAACCAGTATTTCCCCTCTCCTAAAATCAACCCAGGGTCAGGTGTCAGATAACTAGGGACAGTTCCTATGTCCCAAAGCCTGCCTGAATGACTCCAACTAGCCAATCCTAAACTGTCTACCTTGCCTTGCCTTTCCCATTTAGCAGAGGCTGTGGCCTGTGCCTTCCCCCCTGGCTCCTTTCTGCCCTCTTACACTGGTGCCTCCCCCTGCCGTCCTGTGTGGTGAGCTGTGCCTCTCGTTTCTCGGGAACTGTAACATTAAATGTTTCTTTCAGTGGCATTGACCTCTCCATGTTGTCACTCAGTCACCTTTATAAATTAAAATCTAGGCACAAATTAGAGGATGTTCAATTCCTGAAGTAGTCTGGGGCTTGGAGATTAGAATTTGAGATTTGGTAGTCATCAGCATTTAAATGATATATTAGTTTGCAGGGTTGCCATAACAAAGTACTACATGCTGGCTGTCTTAAACAACAGACGTTTATTGTCTGACAGTTCTGGAGACTAGAAGTCCAAGGTTCAGAAAGATTGGCTCCTTCTGAGAGTTGTGAGGAAGCATCTGTTCCACACCTCTTCTCTAGCTTCTGGGGGTTTGCTGGCAATCTTTGGCATTCCTTGGCATGTAGAAGCTTCGTTCCAATCTCTGCCTGCGTCTTCACATGCTGTTCTCTGTGTGTGTGTGTGTGTGTGTGTGTGTGTGTGTGTGTGGACACCAGTCATATTGGAGTAGCATGGGCCAACATGACCTCATTTTCACTAATTATACCTGCAGTGACCCTATTTCCCCATAAGGTCACATTCTGAGGTATTGGGGGTTAGGATGACAACATATGACTTTTTGAGGGACTCAGTTCCACCCATAACAGATAGTGATGGAAACTACATGAACAGATGAACACATGAGCAGATGGGGAGTGAGGAGACAGCCCAGAGGACTCGGACACAAAGAAAATGAAGAAGAAATGCCAAGAGAAAGAATGGTGTTGCTGCAGCCAGTGGATACCATGATTCCAGCAGGTAGTATCCAGCAATGTCCACCATAGGAAGGAGGACAGGGTGACCTTGATGAGAGTCTGTTTGTCGTGATAGATGCTGATGGGAAGGAGCTGATGGAGAGGGAGAAGTTGAAGATTCTGAAGATTCTGGAAGAGTTGAAGTTATTCCTTTAAAGAACTAAGACCTTGGGCCAGTGGGTGAGGATGTAGTCTGAAGCGTAGGTGGAACCGATCACAGTGACGAAAGTAGGTGACACACCATTTTGACCGCAAAGCTACACTCTGTGCTGGCAAACGACTGCCACCATCGCCCTTAAGATGATCCTTTCCCAGGCCCTCCCCAACTGTGTCTCGTATGGAGCCACTTCTCAGTGATGCACACGGTCACCGCCACACAATGACACCTTCCCTGGAAACTGGCAGTCACGGCTGTCCCTTGAGCATCACAGACAACTCAGGAAGAGTTCCACCAGATACCCTGACACGTGTGCCACGAATGTCCTCTCCGGTCACACACCCAGTCATTCACACACCGGCCATACCCTCTCAGGGCCGTCTTGTCAGTCTGGATACAGCGTCCATACCCCTACCGTCGCGGGCGCCTCACACACAGCCAGCAGCCCCGGTCACACTAACAGCTGCAGGCTTGTCCTGCACATCTGGGGGCCGGCAGGCTGTGGCACCGTTAGCCCTGCCTCTCCTAAACAGCCGCGTCGCCATCGGCTCTTTGTCTCTGTGTCTCTAGACGTCCGTCTCTGTCTCTCTCACGGAGGCGCGCGCGCGCACACGCTCACCCACGCGCGCTCATACACACGCGCACACACGCGCGGGCACCGCGGGGACGAGCCCGGCGGGGCTGCGGGGGCTGCGGAGGGGGGCGGCCGCGGCCGCTGCGCACTCTGCCCGGGCCAGGGCGGCGGCCGGCGGGAGGGCGACGTGGAGCGGCCACGTGGAGCCGCCCGGGGGGAGGGCCCGGCGGCGGCGGCGGCGGCGGCGAGCCGAGGCGCGGCGGGCGCACAGCGTCGAGCCGCCGCGAAGCCGGACCCCAGCCCTCGTCGCGCCGCCGCAGGTGGGTCCGCGCTCCGGCCCGGGGCGGCCGGGCACCGGGCTGGGCGGGCGGGGGGCCGCCGCCGCCACCAAAGCCGGCGGGGACGCACGGGTCGCCGCGGGGCGGGACCGCGGGGCCGGGGCGCCCTCCCGGCGTCTGGGTCCCCGGGCTGCAGGCGCAGTCCCTCTGCGTCCCCCTGAGGCGCGGACGGGGCTGGAGCGGCGGCTCCCGCCTCGGGGCATCTCCCGGGAGGAGGTTCCCCCCGCCCAGCCCCCGGGTGAGTGGATAGAGGAAGGGGCTGGAAAGCGAATCCTGAGCTTCCTAGGTGTGATGAGGGGGTTCCACAATTCCCGACCCTTTGTCGCTCTGACATCCTGCGCGGGGGCTTGGGGGCTGGCGGGAGTTTGATCCTCATTTGACAGATGAAGAAAAGGGGGGCTGGGGAGGGGCCCCAGGTTATCACCCAGTTGGAAGTGGCAGGGTGGAGACCGGCTCTCAGGTGTGGGACCTTTTTGGCTGTAGAACCACTCTCTCTTCTTCTTTTAGGGGGCGGGGTCGTGTCCTGGGAGGCACAGGGGCACCAGAGGGATAAGTTAAGGGTTAGGATTTGGTTCAAAATAACTTTGGGACAGTGAGACTCAGCCAGAAACAGAATGGATGCCCTATGAGGTGCTAGACTCTTGACGTGGAAAGTCAAGCAAGGGCTGAATGGCCATTGACAGGGATGCTGTGGGAAAAGTTTTGCACTGGATGGGAGGCTACCCAAGATCAAAGGCCCCTGCCGCATCCTAGATTCTCTGGAAATCCTCAGATGCCAGTCATTTAACCTGCATTATCCCATTGCATCTTCCCCAGGCCCTTACAAGACAGATACTGTTATCCCAGGCTCAGAGAGGTTAAGACACCCGCCTGGATCACACTGTCAGAACCGAGAGGCAGGATCTGATCAGAGGTCTGACCCCAAGGCTGGGCTCTCCTCACTGCGCTGGTGTCAAGGCTCGAAGAAATTTGAGGCCTGAGAGTCATTGTGAATGTGAGTGTATGAATGTGAGTGTGTGTGAAGGATGTGAATAACTACTGAGTTACATCACAACTGTTAACTAAGAGTTGTGGTGGCTTTCAGGTGGTCATGAGGGTAAATTACATTTGTTCGCTTTATGGTTGTAGGAAATGATTAGGAACACATTTATTTGACAGGCAGTGGTTCAATAATGGCTTTATTTCTGTTGCTTACAAAAGCTTTTGTTAAGTGCTGAGAAATGTCTTAAGCGTGAACAAATCACATCACACCAACGTCATTACATGTTACTTGAGGTGCCTTAGCTTGACTACCTTTAAACAATAGAGGTGAGCCATACAGTTATTTAAGTCTGTGACATGAACTATAACCAGAATGCTCAGGTTGTCAGGAGAGCTCAGGGTATTCCAGGTAGAGGGTAGAACAGCTTGGGCAAAAGCACTGAAAAGTGAAAGTGAGAAGCACTTTGGGGGGACTCCAGTCACCCTTCTGTCGGAAGCTGAGTGTTAGTGTAATGGAGCACTGGAAGACGAATATAAAATGGTAACCTGAAAGCTGATTGTAGAAGGCCTTGAATGCCAAGGTGAGGACCGTGGGCTATAATAGAAATAGGGAGCCACTGAAGATTTTGGAGCAGTGGTGTTCTAGCTAAGGAAGATTAATGTGATGTGGGTATGGAGGGTTCTTTTTTTTTTAAGATTTATTTCTTTACTTGAGAGACCGAGAGCACACAGGGGGAAGATCAGAGGAAGAGGGAAGGAGAGAATCTCAAGCAGGCTCCATGCTCAGGACATGGGGCTCGATCTCACCACCCCGAGATCATGACCTGAGCCCAAACTGAGAGTCAAGATGCTTAACTGAGTGAGCTACCCAGGTGCCCCTGGAGGGTTCCTTAAGTGGAGAAGATACCAGAGGCAAAGGCAAGAGAGAGGCTACTACATTAATTTGTGCAAGAAGTAATTCATTATGCACTCACTATTATCTCATTGTGCAGATAAGGTAACTGAAGTCCAGTGAGGATAATTAACTTACCCAAGGTCACAGTCTTTTCAGCGTGGCAGCTTCGGGGACGCCAGACTTCTTCCGTGGCGGCTCAGGGCTCCCAGAGGTGCATATCTGCGCGTGGGGAGACAGAGCGAGAGAGAAGCAGAACCAGGTACAAGCTATGGCACCTTTTCTGACCCACACCTTTATTTCAGCTGTTGTTTAGAAGTGAGTGGCTAAGTCCAGATCGTATACAAGGAAAGGCAAATTAGACTTGGTCCTTTGTGGGAAGAAATGTCAAGGAATTTGTAGACCTGTTTTGCAAACCGGTGCATCTGGCCTAACGAGTGAGTAGATTAGTGGGATGTGAGGGGTGCTTCCCCTTTATGCCTGAATCGCTACCACCAGAGAGTCCTCTTTTAAAAGGCAACTGCTAGTGCATGAGAAGCCCGGATAATAGGTTTTGACAGCTCTGAGGGATTTAAATTACTCTAGCTCCTCCTGTAGGCCCCGGTCCTGGCAGTAAACAGATGGGGTGGGGGTGCAGGAAACAATCTGAGGGTGTCCAGGTGGGGAGCCCAGGGCGGTGGGTATGTGTGAAGCCACTGCAGAGCAGTCCAGAAAGACTCCTGGAGGGAAACGGGCATTATTGTACAGCCAAGCACTGTGCAAAATGTGTAGGGTGTGTAGGACCTCGTGTCATGGCACCTTACCACACCCCACGGAGGTGCTCTCTCCGGCCTCACACTGTAGATGGAGGACCTAAAACACCGAAGGCTCACAGTTCCAGAGCCAGGACTGGGATTCAGGCAGCCTGAGGTGAAGGCCCATACCCTTCCCCTGTAGGCTGTGCCACCTCTTCTTTAGTAATTCTGTGTTTTTCTGTCCCTCCCTCAATCATTGTCTAACATTTGTATCTTTTCTTACTTACATATTTGCAAGCTTTAAGAACAAAAAGGACAAATACTACTTTATATTATCATCTCACTTCTAAGATAGTGCCTCACACACAGTAGGTGCTTAATACATATTAAAGAAGTAAATCAACTTTATCTTCATTCTACAAACTTATATTTCTATTTGCCTTCCCTGCGGCTGCTCAACCTCTTGGTCTTTGTCAACAAAGGTCTTTGACATCTGGCTCAACCCAAGCTATCCTCTGTGGTATCTGGTCCCTGGGTCTCTACTTTCCAGCACTCTCCTTCTGGCTTCTTCTGGCCAGCTGGCCTTCTCAGCCATTACGTGCCTCTTCTTCCGCCTTAGAGACTGGAACCCTCAGCTGAATCCAGCCACCACCACCACCCCACCCCCCAAGAAACCCAGCAGCACTCTGGACATAAAGAACCAGGGCCCTCTGCCCCATTGACCTGTACCCTCCTTCAGCCATTACTTCCAGAACGCTCAGGCACCCTGTGTGCAGGGCCTTCTCCCTGATCCTCCTGGTTCAGGCACAGACGTCTGCAGTCTTGCATCTCTCCTCAATCCCCATGGGCTCTCTCTTGAGATTTCTGTCTTTCGCCCCCTGTTGAGGCAGGCTTCGGTAAGCTCCTCCCTCCCAAGAACCCAGGTAGTTTTGAACCCTACTTGCACTCCCCTAGTCCTCTCTCACTTGTCCTGTTGTACTTGACTTATGGTGTCTCTCGTGATGCAGAAGTTTAAACCTTTGATATATTCACATCTATTTTTTCCTTTAAAACTTAAGAGTTTGCAATATTTATCATTTAAAAAAAAATTTATTTGAGAGCGAGAGAGCAGGGGGTTGGGCACAGGGAGAGAGAGAAAGGGAGAAGCAGACTCCCCACCAAGCTCAGAGCCCGATGCAGGGGGGTGGGGTGTCCCCCCCCCCCCCCCCCGCCAACCCCAGACCCTGAGACCATGACCTGAGCTGAAACCAAGAGTCAGGCACACAACCGACTGAGCCACCCAGGCGCTCTGCCATATTTATAACATTTCTAATTGCTCCATCATGTAATGTGATTTGCTTAGCCCCTGCCTCAATGTTAGCCATTCAGGTTGATTATGTTTCTTTCACTAATATGGATAGCACCGTTATAAATATCTTTATAATTTCTTTTCCATATGAGTTCCTCCCGATGTAATCCTCAGGATGGTATCATTGGGTCAGAGTTTCATGGCAATTACTGCACCTTTGCAGATTGCTCTCTAGAAACGTTTCAGGTTTGTAGTCCCTCAAACAATAGAGGTTAATCCTCACTGATTCAATTTCTTTAATGGTTATAGGACTATTAAGATTTGCTATTTCAAAAAAAAAAAAGATTTGCTATTTCTTCCTCCATCAGTTTTGCTATTAAGTTTTTCTAGGAAATTAACTCTGACCTCTGAGTTTTCAAATTTCTGCGATTTCTGAAGTTATGTCCCCATGTTCATTGCTAATGTTCTTTATTTGTGCCTTTTCTCGTTCTTAATGCGAGTTGTCAGAGGTTTGTCTATTTTATTAGTCCTTTTAAAGAAACACCAGTATCTGGCTTTGTTGCTCTTCTCTATTATATTCCCAATCTCTGCCATTTTTTATTTTTTATTTCTATAAGTTTCTTCTATTTTACTGCCTTATTGAGTTGGAAGCTTAACTCATGAACTTTTGGCCCTTTCTTCTAATATATGCTTTTAAGTCAGTCCACGTTCCCTCTGGCTACCTATCTTGTTTTCATGCATATTTTCCCAGTATCATCCGATTCTAAGTATTTAACAGTTTCCATTATGATATTCTTCTCTGATCCACATGCAGGTATACCCTTTAATTTCCATATATGTGAGTTTTTTGCATCATTTTTGTTATTCGTTTCTATGTAATTACATGTCAGTCATATAATATAGTGTGAGACAGATTCTTTGATATTCACTGAGCCATGTGCTCTGGCCCATTACTTGTCAGTTTTTATAAATATTCCACATGCATTGAGAAGAATATGTATTTGCTAAGGGACTGAAGTGGGGGGGGGTCTCTCATTTGTTCATTAGCTCAGGCATATTAAGTGCTTTATTCAACGTACTACATTCT